TGATGATAATAGTGCTGATATGGTGAGGTGGTGAAGATGATGGTGACGATGGTGGTGGTGGTGAAGATGGTGATGGTGATGATGATGATGGTGGTGGTGATGATGATGGTGATAAGGATGAAGATGATAATGGTAATAGTAATGATAATAGAAAAATAGATAATAGATAATATATTAATAATATTGATAATATCAGATGTAATAATCATTATTCTCAAAAGTAAAAATGGCACTATATTTTCTAACCTTATTCAAATTAGCATTTCAAATATCATGTATCTGTTTTATCTTCAGCGGATGGCGAGTTAAATATTCGCAACGGAACTGCCACCAGATTTCTCTTTGTTGTTGCCTGTCTCACTACAGTTAAAGTTTTACATTTAACATTTAACACTAACTAGTTTCTGCACTATGAGCTTATTCCAAGTGTCCTTCAACTGTCTATATACTCTTAAATGTTTATTCCTTCCTTTTGTTTCTTCATTTTGCTTGAGTATCACTTTTTGAAACATTATAGTTCCAAGATATCTTTGTATAGAAAGTTACTAGTAAGAACAAACATGATTGTTTAAATCTAGGTAACCAGACGCATAATTGCAGACTATTTTGTGTAGATCATAAACTACTTGGTAATTAAAGCAACTGATGACTGCTGAACACATTTTATTCCACACACAAATAAAACAAAAAATAATTATCTAGCAACTACTATGACACTGCTGAATATGAGGATTAAACATGTTTTTGCACTCATGACAACCTCCTTGTGCTGTCTGCCCCTCTGAAGAAATGCTCTTCAAGAAAGCAAAGGAGGCTGTAGGGTTAAACACACAAGCAAGAATGCACACAATTGGATATGGAACGTTAACGCTGACTGTTATTTTTTTCGGACTGTTATGCTGGTGTACTTCAGAGGACGTCCATCTCTAAAGTAGATCAGCAAATTCTACAAAATGAAGTGATCGTAACTATTTCTTTTCAGTTTAAATGAAAATACTTAAAGTTCGAAATAAAGATAAATGAAAGCAAAAGAATGTGGAACATGAGTCAACGATAACATGGCGCAAGGATTTTAAACTTTTTTTTCTTTCTGTAATATTTCGTAACCCTCTTCTTACCCCTTCATGATGATGATCTAGTGCAGTTGGTGCTAAATACTTCCATTATATATTTTTTTATTTCATGCTATTACATCTACACACGCAGGTTTTTTTTAAAGTCATTTCCTGGTTTCGAGATCGTTACGTTTTAATGAAGCGGTTGTCTTCGTTTTAGGTTGTGGCCGAGGACGTGCGGGATCCGGGCCTTCCAGCGACCTGCAGGAACGGCGGAGTCTTACTTTTTATAATTTAGATGTATGGCCATGTCAAAATAATTGTTATATTAGGCCATAGATAACTATTGGTATATTAGACCGTGTGAAAAATAATTGGTAACCACCCTCGCCCGCTCTAGAAAAAGCTTCTCGTCTGCCATTTCTTAATCAAAATCTACAAACAAAGTTCCGAGAAAGGTGAAGGATGCTAACCAAATATTTTTTTCTATACAGCGTAAGACTGGCAAGAGATTTTTTTTCAATGTTAATTTTTTATCAATAATGTTCTCCTTTTTCATGGAACACCTGAATTCACTCTCTTTATATGCTTAATTTTCTTTAGCATGGGCAGCCCCAAGCAACAATCTTTACCTAATGAAAAGGAGAAACACTCTGTAAATACCCATTTAAAAGTAACAGATTATTAATTCAGCGTATTATAGCAAAAAAATCTTCCGAACTGGGTAACCAACTACAAAAATACTGCTAGATTCCTACAATATTTTTTTTTTCATTTTTTATGTGTATTCAGTACCATAAGTCTCTTTTTTCCAGATGAAAGAATAAGAGACACGGAGCACACACCTAACACGTGAATCAGTCTAATGAATTGTTATTAAAATGGTCAGAAGGCTGGGATGAATATTATCAAGATATACGAATTTATGAATGGTGTGTATATGGAGGAAAGGTCTATTTCACTGGTATATATAGTGTGTTACTGATGACATTTTTTCTAAGGGGGGGGGAGTATAAGATGTCTGGCAGAATATTGAAGTTTTTAGAAAAGATGACTCTCTAGATTTCTACTCAGAGGTTTTGTTTTTATATTATGAATCGAAATTATGAGATCTTCAATCTGGTGTAAAGGCGAGGGTTTCCAGCTATACAAATTCGTAATAAGAATTCTTTACGTTTCCTCATCCTTTATTTATTTATTATCTATTTTACTTTTTACACGTATCTACTTAACCGCCAATGAAAAGTGGATATGAAATGAAACAGACTCACAGTATAAAGAAAACAAAAGTCGTGACGCTTCGACCTAAGCAAGCTTTCCTCGTCAGACGAAATAAAGACCGAAATGGATGACCCAGTCCGGTTTTCCTTCGTCTGATGAGAAACCCTTGGTGGCCCCGAAACGACTTTCTTGCTGTTGTGGCTTTGTTTATTCCATTTAAGAGATGACATTTTTTCTTCCTTATATATGTCTATTTATCTATCTATCTATCTATCTATCTATCTATCTATATATATATATGAAATCTCAACAAGATGTGCTGAAATCCAGAATGAATTGAATTCAGTTATCCAACGGTTCTCCTCGCAAGTATTGATACTGGCATGAAACAACACTCACCAGCCCCCGCGACGCAGGCCGAGACGGGAAGTCGGACGCGGAGGTCGCGGGCCGGTTCATGTCGACCTGGTCAAGGGAAGTTCATGTTAGAAATTTCCTGCATGCACCAAACATGTAGGTGTTTATAATTATAACTCAAAACAAAAACAATTAACAATAAAGTATATAAGCCATACATCATTAACGCTGAACGTAAACATTGACAAGCACAGCAACAACGACCAAAGTGAGGAGCAAGGAACCCACCCCCGAGGGGCTGACGGGCGAGGCTCTCCCGCTGGAGGGGCGGCTGGAAGGGCGGCTGGAGGGCCGGCTGGAGGGGCGGCTGGAGGCCTTGCTGCGCTGGTCCTCGGGCGAGCCCAGCCGTTCCTTCTCGTCGTCGCCGGGCTTCGAGCCGCCGAACTCGTAGCCGAGCAGCATCTTCCGCTGCGGGCGAGGGGGGCGGCGCCGAGGGTTAGATCGTGAACAGACGTGGGTTATGTGTGTGGATATGTAGTATTTATATATCTGTATAATACACATGCATACTGCATCTGTGCACACACAAGAAAATATATACTATGTATACACACACACACACACATATATATATATCTACATCTATATCTCTCTCTCTCTACACACACACACACACACACACACACACACACCACACACACACACACACACACACACACACACGCGCACACACTCACACACGCATACACAGACACGCATACGCACACATGCATACACACACATGCATATGCACACACATGCATACACACACACACACACACACACACACACACACACACACACACACACACACACACACACACACACACACACACACACACACACACACACACACACACACACACACACACACACACACACACACACACACACACACACACACACACACACACACACACACACACACACACACACACACACACACACACACACACACACACACACACACACACACACACACACACACACACACACACACACACACACACACACACACACACACACACACACACACACACACACACACACACACACACACACACACACACACACACACACACACACACACACACACACACACACACACACACACACACACACACACACACACACACACACACACACACACACACACACACACACACACACACACACACACACACACACACACACACACACACACACACACACACACACACACACACACACACACACACACACACACACACACACACACACACACACACACACACACACACACACACACACACACACACACACACACACACACACACACACACACACACACACACACACACACACACACACACACACACACACACACACACACACACACACACACACACACACACACACACACACACACACACACACACACACACACACACACACACACACACACACACACACACACACACACACACACACACACACACACACACACACACACACACACACACACACACACACACACACACACACACACACACACACACACACACACACACACACACACACACACACACACACACACACACACACACACACACACACACACACACACACACACACACACACACACACACACACACACACACACACACACACACACACACACACACACACACACACACACACACACACACACACACACACACACACACACACACACACACACACACACACACACACACACACACACACACACACACACACACACACACACACACACACACACACACACACACACACACACACACACACACACACACACACACACACACACACACACACACACACACACACACACACACACACACACACACACACACACACACACACACACACACACACACACACACACACACACACACACACACACACACACACACACACACACACACACACACACACACACACACACACACACACACACACACACACACACACACACACACACACACACACACACACACACACACACACACACACACACACACACACACACACACACACACACACACACACACACACACACACACACACACACACACACACACAATTATGAGATCTTCAATCTGGTGTAAAGGCGAGGGTTTCCAGCTATACAAATTCGTAATAAGACTTCTTTACGTTTCCTCATCCTTTATTTATTTATTTATTATCTATTTTACTTTTTACACGTATCTACTTAACCGCCAATGAAAAGCGGATATGAAATGAAACAGAGTCACAGTATAAAGAAAACAAAAGTCGTGACGCTTCGACCTAAGCAAGCTTTCCTCGTCAGACGAAATAAAGACCGAAATGGATGACCCAGTCCGGTTTTCCTTCGTCTGATGAGAAACCCTTGGTGGCCCCGAAACGACTTTCTTGCTGTTGTGGCTTTGTTTATTCCATTTAAGAGATGACATTTTTTCTTCCTTATATATGTCTATTTATCTATCTATCTATCTATCTATCTATCTATATATATATATGAAATCTCAACAAGATGTGCTGAAATCCAGAATGAATTGAATTCAGTTATCCAACGGTTCTCCTCGCAAGTATTGATACTGGCATGAAACAACACTCACCAGCCCCCGCGACGCAGGCCGAGACGGGAAGTCGGACGCGGAGGTCGCGGGCCGGTTCATGTCGACCTGGTCAAGGGAAGTTCATGTTAGAAATTTCCTGCATGCGCCAAACATGTAGGTGTTTATAATTATAACTCAAAACAAAAACAATTAACAATAAAGTATATAAGCCATACATCATTAACGCTGAACGTAAACATTGACAAGCACACCAACAACGAACAAAGTGAGGAGCAAGGAACCCACCCCCGAGGGGCTGACGGGCGAGGCTCTCCCGCTGGAGGGGCGGCTGGAAGGGCGGCTGGAGGGCCGGCTGGAGGGGCGGCTGGAGGCCTTGCTGCGCTGGTCCTCGGGCGAGCCCAGCCGTTCCTTCTCGTCGTCGCCGGGCTTCGAGCCGCCGAACTCGTAGCCGAGCAGCATCTTCCGCTGCGGGCGAGGGGGGCGGCGCCGAGGGTTAGATCGTGAACAGACGTGGGTTATGTGTGTGGATATGTAGTATTTATATATCTGTATAATACACATGCATACTGCATCTGTGCACACACAAGAAAATATATACTATGTATACACACACACACACACACACATATATATATCTACATCTATATCTCTCTCTCTACACACACACACACACACACACACACACACACACACACACACACACACACACACACGCACACACACACACACACACATACACACACACACACACACATACGCACACATGCATACACACACATGCATACACACACATGCATACACACACACACACACACACACACACACACACACACACACACACACACACACACACACACACACACACACACACACACACACATCTGGCTGTGTGTGTATATGCGTTTTGTGGCCATTTGTTCGCCTGCTCTCACTCTACTCTGCTCTCACCCTGGATTTGGCCTGGCCGAGCACGACCATCCTCCACCGCTTGGAGCCCACCCCGATGAAGACAAGGATGATGAGGCCCTGTGCGAAAAAGAAAATGTCTTTAGTAACTGCTGCAAAATCATTCACATGATACGGTTTTGTTGTATATGGATTCGTATGCGAACATACATACGAATAACATAATTGTTCTGATAATAATATTGCTGATCATAATAATAATGCTGTTACTAATAATAATAACGGTGATGGATAATAATAATAATGATGATGATAATGATGCTGATAATGATGATGTTAATGAAAATAATGATAATAATAGTAATAAGGATAAAAACAATAACAAGAATAATAGTGATAATAGTAAGAGCAACAACAAACAACACAAGAACAGCAGCACTCATAAACGTACCATCCACGAGTTAAGAACTTGAAAGATTGGATAGAAATCTGGGTCTCTGAAGCCGAAGCGAATATAGGTGAGGAGGCCGAAAGTCCAGATGAGGTCGAAGAAGAGCATGACGAGGGAGGCCCCGCGGCAGAACGTTCCGTAGTCGTCGATTAGATTATCTTTTCTGTGTCGGGGAAGAGGTGATGCGAAAGCGAGATGAATTATCATTTTACTTTCTTTGTTTTTCTCTCTTTTTTCAAGGTGTGGAGGATTAGTTGTGATAAGAGTGGTTTAAGTTGATGAATTACTTGGATAAGGTCATTGCTGGGATAAGATAATTATTTCTTTAGTGTGTAGTTTTCGTTCAGTCTTTGGATTTTTTATTTTATATGGAATAAATAGATAAAATGGCCTTTCTATTGTCTCCTGCCTGCTATCATACAGGTAGCAGGGAGGAGGGAGGTGGGAAAGGAAGAAAGGGAGGGAGTAGGATTTAGGTCGCAGGCTGTTACCTAACCGTATACAGCTCTCTACCACATTATCTATTGGCTCCTTATTTAAAACCACAACGTCTCTTGCAACCAAATTCCTCCAGGCCATTCTTCCCATTTACCCCTGCCATTCCTTCTTACCTAAGCGCCGGTGTGGCAAGATTGCAGAGGACGATGGTGCCGAAGAAGAAGGAGCAGAAGACGAAGAGCATCTGCGGCACGAAGAACACGAACTTCGGTGTGTTCTCCCACGCGATGAAGCAGCGGGGATCGTCGCCGAGGTCGTGCAGGAACAGCAGGTACGTAAGACCCATTGATATGAGCGGGAAGCCCCAACACAGGAACCAATAGGCACGCAATCGACCTCCGACGACGCCTGGTGGGTGTAAAAGGAGTAGAAAGGATGAGTCTCAATTTCTTCACTGTAGGAAGGCTCACTTAGTTTTTTTCCAAGCACTACATTTGTGTGTGTGTATGTTTGTTTATGTGTGTGTGTGTATGTGTGCGTGTGTGCGTGTGCGTGTGTGTGTGTGTGTGTGTGTGTGTGTGTGTGTGTGTGTGTGTGTGTGTGTGTGTGTGTGTGTGTGTGTGTGTGTGTGTGTAAAATGATAGTTGTGGAAAGCGTTTCTCCCTATCCATTTGTCCACTAAAGTCTAAAGAGCGGATAAAGATGTCAATATTAGGCCTTTTGCATATGGTTTAAATCTTATTGTCAGTATTTATTCATTGATCTATCCACCCATCAGTCTATCTATTCCTCTATCTATCTGCCAACGTGTACGCGTGCGTCTGCACTCGGGCGCACCCACCTGACGTAATGGCCTTGAAACACGCGTGGCCCAAGGCGGCTATCCACGCCCCGGCAGCGAGGTAAAACACGTGCAGGAGGGTCCCCAAGGCAGTGCACGCGTGGCGATCGTCTCTCACCGCGTGGATATCTGTGATTAGCATACAGATGGAGCCAAGGAGGACTGCGATGGACAGGTTCATGCCCATGAGGTGGAACTGCTCCTTCAAGTCACTGAAAAAAGTTGTTCAGTTATTTAGTTGTTCAATGATTGGTGGTGACTGGCTCTACATCGGCTTATTATTGTTACTAGTCTGTCAGTTCTAAGATAATTATTATAACCAACTCGTCTTTTATCGAATGATTATCGTCACCAGTCTGTCAGTTTTCATATGATTATCAGTACCAATCCATCAAAATTAGACGACTATCATTGCCAATCTGTCAACCTATTCTGAGTCATAATCAACCTATCAAATAAATCCTTTCTTAGTAAATAATGCACCTGTTATCCTCTAAACAACGCAAAGAAATAAATAACAACGAAGGCGAATGAATAAGGAGCACAGCAAACAAAAGATTAGAGTGTTACCAAACGAAAGAACAAGGTCATTTCTACGCACCCCGAAATAGCGATGACCACGATGTAGATGATGAGGCACACGAAGGAGAGACTGTAGCCCACGTAGCGCAAGATGGTCAGCCACAATTTTTCCTCCGGCACCTCCTGTCACATGCAGGGAAAGAAAGTATGAAAGGAAACGACTCTGAAACCCTTAATAACTGAGAGAGAGAGAGAGAGAGAGAGAGAGAGAGAGAGAGAGAGAGAGAGAGAGAGAGAGAGAGAGAGAGAGAGAGAGAGAGAGAGAGAGAGAGAGAGAGAGGGAAGGAGAGAGAGAGAGAGAGAGGGATAGAGAAAAAGAGAGAGAGAAAAAAAGCGGGAGCATAAATCATCAGAATTTATTTGCTATTTATACATATCTTCCCCTGACACTATCCTCCATTTCCTGACCTTCGGTTCGATTTTCTCAGCCAGAATGGAGAAAGTGCCGAAGTGGTCGCAGGCACAGAGAGTGTGTTCGTCGGTGGTCTTCAGGAGGGAGCAGCCGGTCGTGTCCCAGGAACCGAAGTCACCGATCTCGTCGTTCCACCAAACGCAGTACCTTTGTCTGATCTGAGCAGCGCAGGAAAAAAGGATAATCAATTATGCTACGACTACTGTAATGGACGTAATTTAGATGATTATGAAATATGGTTTATTCATTCCTTTAATAATAGTAAGAATTTTAGAAATCGTATATTGAGCCTTATCATTACTGTAGTGTTGATATTTATTGTATCTGTAGATTCTGCTACAACTGCCACTACTGACAATCATAGTAATCACAACTTTGGTGCAAAGGAAGACAATATTAAAGTCGCTGTGGATATTGCGGTCAAGATTTAAGACTAGACTAACGAGGATCACGTCACGATAATCATACTAACGATAGTGAAGAGAAATCAATTATAATAACGATAAAAAAACAGCAGTATCAGTTGCATGTGTCTCTGGCACGAGAATCACATCAATTTCCTTGTACTTGCATGAAGCCATTATTAACCTATTTTCCATAATCATTACTGAGCCTTATTCATCTCACCTCCGTTTGCTTTTCGTCCGAGTGGAAGCTTAACTGTCGCAGAGAAAATTCTTTGGTGTTGTGTTCCAGCTTGTAGCGCACCGGCGTGTCCTTCAGCTTGTCGGGGTCAGGTTTGCAGTCGGGCGCCGACGGGTCGATGAGGCCGTCGGAATTTCGGACGAGGTCGACGGTGATGTGGATGTCGATGACGCGGGAGTCGATTACGTTGTGCTCCCGCGGATGGAGGGTCCTGCGGGGAGTCAGGGGAGAGGGCGGAATTGTGATGAACGTGAAGGAGGGAAAACACACACACACACACACACACATATATATATATATATATTATTCACGCTTGTTCATATATATATATATATATATATATATATATATATAGAGAGAGAGAGAGAGAGAGAGAGAGAGAGAGAGAGAGAGAGAGAGAGAGAGAGAGAGAGAGAGAGAGAGAGAGAGAGAGAGAGAGAGAGAGAGAGAGAGAGAGAGAGAGAGAGAGAGAGAGAGAGAGAGAGAGAGAGAGAGAGAGAGAGAGAGAGAGAGAGAGAGAGAGAGAGAGAGAGAGAGAGAGAGAGAGAGAGAGAGAGAGAGAGAGAGAGAGAGAGAGAGAGAGAGAGAGAGAGAGAGAGAGAGAGAGAGAGAGAGAGAGAGAGAGAGAGAGAGAGAGAGAGAGAGAGAGAGAGAGAGAGAGAGAGAGAGAGAGAGAGAGAGAGAGAGAGAGAGAGAGAGAGAGAGAGAGAGAGAGAGAGAGAGAGAGAGAGAGAGAGAGAGAGAGAGAGAGAGAGAGAGAGAGAGAGAGAGAGAGAGAGAGAGAGAGAGAGAGAGAGAGAGAGAGAGAGAGAGAGAGAGAGAGAGAGAGAGAGAGAGAGAGAGAGAGAGAGAGAGAGAGAGAGAGAGAGAGAGAGAGAGAGAGAGAGAGAGAGAGAGAGAGAGAGAGAGAGAGAGAGAGAGAGAGAGAGAGAGAGAGAGAGAGAGAGAGAGAGAGAGAGAGAGAGAGAGAGAGAGAGAGAGAGAGAGAGAGAGAGAGAGAGAGAGAGAGAGAGAGAGAGAGAGAGAGAGAGAGAGAGAGAGAGAGAGAGAGAGAGAGAGAGAGAGAGAGAGAGAGAGAGAGAGAGAGAGAGAGAGAGAGAGAGAGAGAGAGAGAGAGAGAGAGAGAGAGAGAGAGAGAGAGAGAGAGAGAGAGAGAGAGAGAGAGAGAGAGAGAGAGAGAGAGAGAGAGAGAGAGAGAGAGAGAGAGAGAGAGAGAGAGAGAGAGAGAGAGAGAGAGAGAGAGAGAGAGAGAGAGAGAGAGAGAGAGAGAGAGAGAGAGAGAGAGAGAGAGAGAGAGAGAGAGAGAGAGAGAGAGAGAGAGAGAGAGAGAGAGAGAGAGAGAGAGAGAGAGAGAGAGAGAGAGAGAGAGAGAGAGAGAGAGAGAGAGAGAGAGAGAGAGAGAGAGAGAGAGAGAGAGAGAGAGAGAGAGAGAGAGAGAGAGAGAGAGAGAGAGAGAGAGAGAGAGAGAGAGAGAGAGAGAGAGAGAGAGAGAGAGAGAGAGAGAGAGAGAGAGAGAGAGAGAGAGAGAGAGAGAGAGAGAGAGAGAGAGAGAGAGAGAGAGAGAGAGAGAGAGAGAGAGAGAGAGAGAGAGAGAGAGAGAGAGAGAGAGAGAGAGAGAGAGAGAGAGAGAGAGAGAGAGAGAGAGAGAGAGAGAGAGAGAGAGAGAGAGAGAGAGAGAGAGAGAGAGAGAGAGAGAGAGAGAGAGAGAGAGAGAGAGAGAGAGAGAGAGAGAGAGAGAGAGAGAGAGAGAGAGAGAGAGAGAGAGAGAGAGAGAGAGAGAGAGAGAGAGAGAGAGAGAGAGAGAGAGAGAGAGAGAGAGAGAGAGAGAGAGAGAGAGAGAGAGAGAGAGAGAGAGAGAGAGAGAGAGAGAGAGAGAGAGAGAGAGAGAGAGAGAGAGAGAGAGAGAGAGAGAGAGAGAGAGAGAGAGAGAGAGAGAGAGAGAGAGAGAGAGAGAGAGAGAGAGAGAGAGAGAGAGAGAGAGAGAGAGAGAGAGAGAGAGAGAGAGAGAGAGAGAGAGAGAGAGAGAGAGAGAGAGAGAGAGAGAGAGAGAGAGAGAGAGAGAGAGAGAGAGAGAGAGAGAGAGAGAGAGAGAGAGAGAGAGAGAGAGAGAGAGAGAGAGAGAGAGAGAGAGAGAGAGAGAGAGAGAGAGAGAGAGAGAGAGAGAGAGAGAGAGAGAGAGAGAGAGAGAGAGAGAGAGAGAGAGAGAGAGAGAGAGAGAGAGAGAGAGAGAGAGAGAGAGAGAGAGAGAGAGAGAGAGAGAGAGAGAGAGAGAGAGAGAGAGAGAGAGAGAGAGAGAGAGAGAGAGAGAGAGAGAGAGAGATCGCCGGAGCAAGAAGCGACGGATACTCACGCCGGGTTGACCTTCATGGGCACCACGTCGTCGTAGGTATCGAAGAGCTGCATTGTGATACTCACGGGCCGCTCTCCGCATCGCTCGTCCGCAAACAAGTCCGTCGGAACTGTCGGAGGGAAGGTTTTGCATCAGGTCCTGTCTTCTGAATCACCCTCGTTGGAATGTAGAAGCGAAGCGACTACAGCTATCCCCTATCCGGCATCAGGAAAGGAAAAACTAGCAACTCACCTTAGGATCTAGAAGGCACCGATTCGACGAAACTCTTTTGACTAAGGATGATAAGGTAACACAGACAGCAATTTCCATTAGAAAATAAAAATAAAGATAAAATAAGAAAAAAATAAATCGGGATAAGTTGCTAGTTGTTTTGTTTTCAGGTACGAGACACTATACAATACAGTTCACGTGTGTTCAAAGGCCAGACTTACCCACAGCTCGATCGTAAGGTAGGTCCCACTCGTCCATGTAAGGTTTAATATCGGGGTGCTTGTAATTCGGCGTTTCAAAATATTTCCCTTTCTTGGCCAAATCGTCGGGCATCATCTTCACCACTTCCACCACTAGGAAGATAAAAAAGCAATGATAAAGTAGAAGTAGTCATTAGTTTCAGTAGTGATGATACGCAAGAATATAGGTTTTCAGTGAGTAGGAATGTGATGGATAGCTGTTGACTGATGCCCAAAGAAATCTTTCAGTTCAATTAGCAGAAAAAAAAAACAATATACGTATCGAATGCTCTACCAAATGCTCGATAATACATTAATTGTGCCAACGGATCTGTCTGCCAGCTTTATTAAAAATAGAAGGAAGGAGGCCAAGATTATGTAAGTTGAAGGGACCTCAGGATTGGTTTATTTGGAGGCCATTTTGATTGCTGTTATAACAGATGTAATGTTTGCATCAGTAATACCCGATAAACTTCTCTCTAACTAGTAATAATAATGATAATGATTGTAATGGTGACAATACTAGTAATAATGATAATAGTAATAATATTAATAGCAATAATATTGATACTAACACTAATACGAATACTACTACTAATGATAAAAAATGATATGATAATAATAACAATAATACTCATGAGAATGATAACAATGATGATGATAATGATATTATTCATAATAATAATATTATCAATGATAATTACAATTATTAAATAGCAATAATAAAAAATAAATATGAGAACAAAGATCATAACAAGATTCCCGAAATAAATTTCCATCATTCCAAGATAAAAAACAAATAGTAAATGCAACGAAAAAAATGAGAGTTGAAAAGAAATAAAATCGCAAGATAAGATTAGAAAGGCGCTGAGCACGAAATCCCCCTCACTAATGTTGTCCGTGGTCTTGGCGAAGTCGATGGTGTCCGACTCGTTGGTGAAGCTGACCTCCCTGGCCATGGTGGTGAGCCAGTTCCCCAGGTTCTCGACCAGCTCAGCGGAACCAGGCTCGTCCTTCTTGCTCTGGAGACCGCGCCACTTCGGGAACGAATCCTCCCCCAGCAGGTTACTGGCCACGTCGAGGAGGCTCTGTGCGGAAAAAAAAGGAACAGTTGGTTCGCTGTAGTAACAACGGGATGATCACAACAGGATTTGTGGTTACGTGCTTGCTCTTGGGGAGCCATTCCGTGTACCAACAGAAATTCTTCTAGGGAACTCAGATTAAGAAATAACCAACATAAGTAAGATGTCCATCTATCCATATATACACAGATGCATGTATATCTATCTATCTATCTATCTATCTATCTATCTATCTATATGTGTATGTGTGTTTATGTATATATATATATATATATATATATATATATATATATTATATATATATATATATATATATATATATATATATATATATATATATTCTCGAAATTATCATGAAATCACAGTTTGCCTGAAATTGGTCTCAGGCAATTAAACGGAAGATGCTGATAGAAGACAGCCCGAGGTGGCCTGTGACGCTTACCATGGCCGACTTGAATCCGGAATAAGGCATGTCTGGGTTGATGTTGTCCAGGTTCGTCATGGTTTTCATGATTTTACTCATGGTCGTAATCTGCTTCACACCCGCTGCCTCCGCTGCGCTCTGCACGCTCTGGGTCGTTGCGGCTGCGGAGGAAGAAGGGAGGGTGAGGGCGAAGGAAGGAGAAAGAATGAAGGAGGTGGAGGAAGAAGGGAGGGCGAAGACGAATGAAGGAAGATATAACAATGGCAAGCGACAGATTGGGTGAGAGGGACAGACAGGTAAGAGCAGAATATAAAGACAAAAAATAGAACAATTCAGCTTTTGAATGTGAGATTTTGGCGGTTGCTTTGTACTGTGAATAATATCTGATTCGCTATAAGTCATATGAATTTAGTTTGGTGGCAAGCAATAGATGAAATAAGTTTCAGAAGTTTAAAGAAAGAGCAAAAGGAACACTATTAAGGCACAAGCCCATGGGACGCAGTGAACGAGCATCGAACTTGAAGCAAGTCATCTTCCACACCTGTTGGGCTTCCGGCTGTTGGACCTGAAGAGGAGGAGGTGGAGGCAGCCTCCGTCGGGGTCGCCGTCGTGGGATCCACGTTCTCCGTCGAGGTCATCTTGCTCAGGATGTTGATAGCAAAAGCCATCTGGGCGGGGTCCTTCAGCTCAACCTGGGTCAGCATGCTCTGGAACTTCTCGGGCGCGATGTCAGAGTAGTTGGCCTCTGGGTCGGCAGAAACAAAGAGGATTGTAGAGGTCTTTCTCCTTTCGATATGTCCAGATCTGCATGCACACACACACACACACACACACACACACGCGCGCGCGCGCGCGCGCGCATGTGTGTGTATAGCAGGATAAACGCATCAAAAGAGACAGATATAACCATAAAAACGTATATTTAGCCACAAACTTCGGCCCCGCCCCTCGCCGGGCTCCGGGGCGTGGGCGGCCCGCGCCTTCCCCCTCACCGTATCCACCGAAGAAGAACAGCGTCTCGTTGTCCGGCAGCTTCCTCGTCCAAGTGGCGAGCTCGTCGTACTCCGCGTCGTTGAAGCCTCTGTATACTTGGTTGTCGGCGTCCTTGTGGCAGCCGAGCATCATCTCCGTCGGATCCAGGGGCTGCTTGGCCGGCGCGGAGGACTCGCTGTCCACCTGGTGGCCCACCTTCTTCAGGTTCACGAACATCTACAAACAGAAGTGGCAGCACGGTTAGGAAAACCCTTTTTGGTGCTAGCTTAGTCTTTATTATTACCACTGTGAATAATATCATTATTGGTATCACGATTATTAGAATCATTCTCATTCTCATAACTATTAGTATTGTTTTGTTGCATCTTCTTAATGACAATAACATCACTATTAACGTTATTTCGTTATTGTTGTCTCGTCGGCAATGATAATGAGATCATGCCTCTAACACCGCCACCGACATTCCTTTACTCTTGCTGCCATCTTTACCAGAGCCAAAGCACGAACCGCTTCAACCCCATCTTCCCCTTTGCTCACCTCCAGGCCACCGGTCTTCTCGTCGAGCGTGCCGTCGTCAGCGCCAGGCTGCTCCCACCGGATGGCGATGTTGCTCCAGGTGTTGTTCTGCAGCGGCCCCACCACCTTCAGCTCCCAGTACTCGTCGCCCGTGGATACCACTGCCACCAAGTACAGGCCGTCGTGGTAGATGGCGATCCCTGGGTGGCCCGCGCTGTCGCCACCTGAGGCACGCGGAGGAGTTTGTTATCGCACTGTGCTTACTACAGGTATCTTGGTTATTACTCTGTGAGTGAGTGAGTGAATGAGTGTGTGTGTGTGTGTGTGGGTGGGGTATCTGTCCCCCCTCTGTCTGTCTGTCTCTGTATGGATGTCTTCTCTCTCTGTCTCTGTCTCTGTTTGTCTGTCTGTCTCTGTCTCTCATACTTTCACTCCCTCCTTTCTTCTCCCCCCCCCCTCTCTCTCTCTCTCACCTTCTCTGTCTGTCTGTCTGTCTCTTCTTCCCTCCCTCCTTCTCCCTCTCTCTTTCACTCTTCCCCTCCCTCTCTCTTATCCCTTATTTCCCTTTATTCTCCCCATCCTTTTTCTCCCTTCTTTCTCCATCCTTTCTTCCCTCCCTCCCATTTCCTCTCCCCACTTTCTCTTTTCTCTCCCCCGTACCAGTGGAAAGGACGTATTTCTTCGAGGCCAGGGCGCTGTTGTTTACGGCCTCAAACACCGTGCCGCTGAAGACAGGTTTCTCCCAGACGCTGATGCTGATGCCTTTGTCACAGTCAGTGGGGTTTCCCGAACAAGAGTCTATTGCGGCGTTGTATTCAGTCTCTTTTACGCACTGAAAGAACAGAGGTTAACAGGTGAAAATGATTTTGGATGTGATGCAACGAGGATTTCTAGGTAGTAGGTTTTCATCGTTTAATAATCCCTCAAGAATTGAAGCATGTCACTTTCAAGCAGTGTGTTCAGAAAGTGTATTACATTTGTATATTGCATAATGAAGCAGCAATCCACAACTCAATAACCGTAAAAACAGAAAGATATCTAAAGCTAAATTAAGGTATATGATATATCTAAAATACTATGTGATAGATTATCATACGGAACATTACACTAACAGCTGCTATGTCTAAAACATTCTAAAATAATACACAACACATATAACTAGAAAATAAAACAGCAAGCAACATTTCAACCATATCGTTTCCCTTTTCAAACCACCAATCTCATGTGGCCTTCCATTCACCTGCTCCTTGTCACTGCTGATGCTGATTGCCTGTCCGAAGCCGAAGGGCCCCGCCGTCACCTCGTAGTTGTCCGGGACGCCGTTCACGTCCGTCATGGTCTTGTGAATCGTACCCCAGTAGTAGTCCGTAGTCGCTGGGTACGAGACATCTGCGTACCACATGGCCGGGGGAGAGGTATATATAACAACGTAAAAAAAGAAGAAGAAAAATGCGTTTATATTAACTCATCAGTTTCAGATCAGTTCCTTTATGTATTTCTTGAACTAACTTTTACTCTGGAGCATGTGAATGTGTGATATTACTTTATATTTTCATACAATTACACACGCACTCACGCACACACATGAATACACACACACAGGGGCCACGTACCGTAGGGCGGCATGGTGGGCAGCACGATCGGCGCGGTGGTCGTCGTAGGTCCCGTTGTCTCTGTAACTGTTTTTCACCAAAGCAAAAGCCCAGAAGGAAAATCCCCCCAAAAAGAAAAGAATCGTGAGGGAATAATCTTCATGGTTGATTCGATTCATGATTGAGAGATGTTTAGAGAACAGGATGTTCTCGGATGAGCGAAGATGAATAAGAGAGATGGTTAGAGATCGTAAGAGGAAAGGATTGGTTAGGAAAGAGGAAGAGGGACCGCAATCAATCGACATAATTCTCACACACACACACTTAAAGTTATCTTTCTTGGCACAGAGAAAGACTATTTCGGCAATGACTCCGGACGATAAAAAAGATCATCTTATTAGCCAAATCTTAAAAAATCTGTTCTGTTATCTTATGACTTTTATCATCAGGAGCCTGCCACCACTGGTCCCTCAGGAACAGCGTTTACAATAGAATCAAAAGGCTTCTTGTATTCCAGGTGCAGGCTCGCAGGGAAGTCTCGCCTCGGTGCAGGGGGGGAGGGGAAGAGTCCGAGGCCGAGTGTGTCCCCCGCCTCCCTTGTTTCTGGTAGTCTCCCAAGACCTATAACACGGAAAAAAGGGAAACTAATATGATATCCTAAATAGGCAGCAAGAACATATTAGGAGCTAAGGAAATGATTGCTATGAATTTTCCATACATAATATGGTTTTAAAAAACTCCTCTTGCGATTTGCTCCGACTATCTATCTATCCATCCGTCTATTATTTTATATATTTATCTATCTTTCCTTGGCCGGTACACTCGACGTCTTATCATAAAAAATGGGTTTATTTTACCATTTTATGGCGTTAGGAATCTCAACTTCAGGTTATAATTATTTCCGGGTCTGCCCTTACCTGTCGCTATCTCATATGAAAAATCAAATCAAAATGCTAATCAAAATTAATGGAAAATAAAATCATACGGTACATAGCAACATAAGAAATGTCCTCAATTAGATGGTTCTAATTAAGGACAGAAGTCTCTCTCACTCTCTCTCTCTCTCTCTCTCTCTCTCTCTCTCTCTCTCTCTCTCTCTCTCTCTCTCTCTCTCTCTCCTTGTTATTTACAGTAAAAATAGATTTTAAATCGGGCTCGTGCGGTTATAAGATATCTGTATGATCGGTTTAAACACTATGATTTTTTTTTTAATTTCATATTTTTGGCCAAAATAATTGATAAAATTAGTACTTTATGGCCACAAAATCGAAAGTAAAACCAAAAGGACCTGGCAGATGTTTAACTCTTTAGGCCATCTTGGATATTTATGCATTATTAAGCTGCAGTTTTTATTTTGTTTTAATTGATTGACTTGTCTTGGAATTACCATTAGAATATTTTTAGTTTTTATCTGTTTTGCGCATGTGTGTGTTCAACATATGCGTATGATGGAGAAAAAAATACACAGATAGAAATAGATACATACAGAGATATATAGAGATAGAGATAGCGGTATAAGTATAGGTAGAGGTAGAGATGGAGGTAGAGGGAGATGTGGATTTAGATGTAGATATGGAGATAGAGATAGAGAAAGATAGATAGAGAGATAGAAATAGAGATAAAGAGAGATTGAGATAGAGAGAGATAGAAAGAGAAAAATAATGTAAATAGATGTATCAGTTTCATAACTAATCCTAAAAGAAGATAATTAAATAATCAAACAGAATTTAACAATTATGATTCAGCCACTCGGGAAGATCGCTTATATTACGAGGTAAGATTCTAAATTCTAACCCTATCTTTAGTTTGAGACAGATAAACAGAGATATAAAAATAAAACAATAGATATATAGATAATGAGAACGAGAGGGGGAGAGAAAGAGAGAGAATGAAAGACTTTTCTTAGTCAGTGCGACAGAAATATGTAACTGTGTCTTATCCTGACGTCAACTGAATTAATTTCACATAATTATAGATGGGTGTTCCGTTGGAGGCAATGATAAAAAAGAAAGAAAAGAAAACAAGAGGTAAATGATATACAGTATAGAAAGAAGGGCTGAAATATCCAAAGGCGGATCCAAAGGAAAATAATGAATTATAGAAGTTAACAGACGTTAGAATATCTTAATTCTGTATTTTTGTACGAGAAATAAGCCTATCCATAAAAAATAGCCAGGCCTTATATATATATATATATATATATATATATATATATATATATATATATATATATATATACATATACATATATCTATAAATATATACATATACATATATGTGTATATATATATATATATCTTTAAACATATATTATACATATATATACACATACATATATATATGTATATATATACATACATATATATATATATATATATATATATATATATATATATATATATATATATATATACACACACACATATATACATACATATACATACATATACATATACATATATATTAAGAGAGAGAGAGAGGGGAGAGAAAGAAAAAAAGGAGAGAACGAGGGTGCATAGGAAGACGAAGACAGAGGGGGGGGGGATAATATTTACTGATAAATATCCTATGAATCGTTTCGACAGATGAAGAAATAAAAGTATGGAGATGAACAATCATTGTAGTTTCGCTCGTTTGCTTGTTTGTTTTTGATCTAGTATTTCTTTTGTGCGTGTTTGTATGTGTGGGCGTGTACGTGTAATTTGTGCATATGTATATGAATGGCAAAAACATGATCGGTATACACATGATCTGTATACCTATCTATCTATCTATCTCTGTTTATATATCTATCTGTTTATCTCTGTCCGTTTATATATTTCTGTCTGTTTATCAATTACTTTCGCTCTCATTCCTTCTCCTTGTCCAATAGATATTCTTAATTTGATATTTCACACACTGGCCGCAAGTTGGATAGAGTTTTAACCAAATAATTATAATCTTTCCTATTTACAGTATTATCAAATCACTGACACTGAGGTTAGTATAATTTAAATCTCAATGGTGTAACCGTTTCTCAAGAAGGACTTCTCATCTGTCGGGATTTAAAACATAATGATTTTTAAATCTTATTTGATTATCTTAACTGACATGTGAATTGTTGTTAAAGTTAGTATAGTTGGCAGTTAGTCTGTTTGTTTTTGGTTTACGATGTAATTATCATTAAAATATGTTTAGTTTGTATCTCTTTTGTCTGTCTGCGTATATCTGTGTGTGAGAGATAGATAGATAGATAAATAGATATATATATATATAGATAGATAGATAGATAGATAGAGAGAAAGAGAGAGAGAGAGAGAGAGAGAGAGAGAGAGAAGATGCATAGGGAGATGACAGAAGGGAAAATAAAGTTTATTTATAAAAGATGCAGAAATATAAAGAAAGACTGAGATGAATAATCATAGTTTTGTTCATTTTTGTTTTGGTACCTAGTTTGTGCATGTTTGTGTATGTGTTTGTATGTAGTCTGTGCATACAAATATGAATGGCAAAATACACACTGTATACCTATCTATCTATATTTGTTTCTATCATTCTATCTCTTTTTATATCTATCTATCTATCTGTCCGGTGATATATCTCTATCTATTTATCAATGAATTTCGCTCTCACATTTTCACCTTCTCCACGAGATATTCTCCATGTAAAATAAAATATTATAGAAAATACCCGACAATTTATATTTTGTCCCAGATACTCGTCTGGATACTCAGTAACCAACTACTCGGTTGCCTACCCGGATATCCGCCCGTCACTAATAGTAAGTCATATGGTAATGCAGATAGATATTAAATGATACAGGTACAATTATACCGACGATTTGAATTATAGGAAAGAGAACAATATTCCTTTGTATCTGAAATATTTTTTTTATCTCACGAAGCTTAAACAAATGCAAATGTTTCACTTCTCTCTCCCTCTCTTTCTTTCTTTCTTTCTCTCTCTCCCTTTCTCTTTCTCTCTAACCTTCTTTTCTACTACTTAACCTGTATGCTTGACATATTGTCATGGAAACGCTATCATATTCTGTCAGCAGTTTTCCGTGTCCACCTGAAGATAGATAGATAGGGAGAGAGAAAAAAGGAGAGTAAGAGAGAGGATGCAGAGGGAGATGAAGACAGAGGCTAAAAATAATATTTATTCATACGCGAAAAATTGTTTCACTAGATGAAGAAAAACTAATAAAAATAAAGGATGAACAATCATTTTTTTTTCTTTTGCTTGTTTATATCTTTTACGTTTGGTGTCTCTTTTGTGCATATTTGTGTTTGCTTGTAACCTGTGCATACATACATACATACATACATATATATATATATATATATATATATATATATATATATATATATATATATATATACATATATATATATATGAATGGTAAAACACACATTGGATACCTATCTCTCTATATCTGTTTCCATCTATCTCTGTTTATTCATCTGTCCATCTGCCCGTTGATATATATCTATCTGTCTATCAATTAATTTCGCTCTCACACTTTCTCTTTGATATTCTTCAGTTATTATCTTACACACTGGCAGCAAGTCTGACTGACTTTTACCCTAAAAAATATTTGTTCATATTTACAGTGAGTACTTAAACAACTGATATATTTATAACTACGAAATCGAGAGTAAAACCAAAAGTCCCCCCGCCTCGAAGGCAGGTGTTTATCTCATTAGGCCATCTATTCGGGGTTAATAAGATGCAGTATTTGCAGTTTGCTTGTTTGTCTTTGTTTTGCGATGTAATTATCGTTAGAACATGTGTAGTTTGTATATTTTTATCTATTTGTATGAGAATGAAAGAGGGATAGATAGAAATTTGGAAAGAGGTAAGAAAAAAAAAACGCAAATGATGAAAATAATAGTGATAATAACGGTAATAATCGGAACAACAGTGGTAATGAAAATAATTTCAAGTTCAATAAATAACAGAAACAGTGATATGATTCAATGGTACTGGTACAATTATACCGATGAATTGAATTATAGGAAGCAAAAGTTTTCCTTTGTATCCTTTTTCCTTTCTTTCTCTCTCCTCCTTCTTTTTCTCTCTAGCCTTTTATTCACTACTTAACCTATATATAGGTTAAGTAGTATATATAGGCCTGCATTTTTTCATAGAGGTATTATCTCTCTTCCTCTCTCATTTCTATATATCTATCTAGCCGTCAGTCACTCTCTCACTCTTTTTTCACCCTGGCCACTAGTTATTCTTCATTTAAAACCTCACACTGGCAATGAGAGATTGATAGTGATCTGGAAAGAAACAAATTATGAAAATATGTATGAGAATGAGAGAGGGAATGAGAGATGGATAGATAGAGAGAGATTTGGAAAGGGGGAAGAGGAAAAATCACACAAATGATGATAATGTGTGAGAATGAAAGAGAGTGAATGAGAGATCGATCGATAGAAAGAGATTTGAAAGCAGAGATAAGAAGAAAAGGAACACGCAAACGGTAAAAATTAATAATCGGACCAACGGTGATAATGATGATCAGAATAATGTTGCACATAAATATAGTTACAAAATAAATGATAGTAACAGTCATATGGCAATACGGATATATATGTTTAAATAATATTAGTGCAATTATACCAACTATCTGAATT